GCTCTCTGGTAATGGATGGTAAAGGATCGTTTCCTTTCTCACAGTACTAGGAGCATTGTACAGTGAATTTTCACTGTTCCCGGCCAAGAAGTGCCTTACCTGTCCAGGTAAGGATTCAACAGCTCATTTCAGTATGCTCAGATTTTCCCTTCCCCCGCCACATGCAAATGGGGTTCGCTAATCTGTTTCCTTGTATTCTTGCTTCCTGTCTTCCAGTTCTTTCCTGTTCCTGCACCATAAAGCTAAAAGACAGCAAAACTGCAACTACACCCCAAATATTCCCACTGCTTCATCTTCTTTAGTGCTCATCTGCCATCTGAGATACACTGAATAAAATTGGTACCTGGAAGGAAGTGCACATTTCCAAAGGCCATGCAAGTTTGGCCTTACAGGGAGAAATCAACAGTATCAGCCTTAGCAGAGATCTTTCAGTGCTGCCTGCCCACACTTGCATTTCTTACACAAACTGTTTTCATTTGCCACCTCCTTAACTTTAGCCATTCATTGTCTCCATCTTGACCCTCTCCAACATCTGCGTTTCCCTAGAAAGTTTTGTTCAGAGGCCTAAGTTCTTTGGGCTTTTTATGCCCACTGCAAAAGGAGGGGATAGCGTCACCTGAGAATCATCAGTAGCACAATTTGCTTTTGGGGCACTGTGAAGACAGTAATGTGACCATCTGAGAAACTGTTCATTGTGTTTTTTACTCATCTTTCTTTCAACTTTTTCCATAAACTTTTATGACTAGTTTGTAGATGAGGTACTAGAGTCAGATCCACAATACCTTGATTTGAGGTGAGGCAGGTAGGTAAAATTCAGCTGATGAGCTGCTGGATATCCTCATTTTCAGCTATTTTCTCTGAAGTCGGGGCAGATGCGCTGAGTCTTTGCCCTGAGGGCTTGGAGACAGAGCAGTGGGAGCACAGGTGTATGCGGGAGGGCTTAAATTTGAAGCTGCACTGCTTTCTACTGCTCCCCCTGTGGTGCCTGACTGAACTCTTGCAGCTTTCAAATATTGACACAGCTGCAAAGTGTTCTCACTGGAGCTCTCATGCTGTGTTTGAAGCCTGTGCCCTCTGTCACAGCACAACTGGGAGAGAAGGGGGAACAGCAGGGCAAAGGGAAGGGGAGAATCCAAGCCCCTGTTGCTTAATCTGCTGCCCTGTAACTGCCTTCTTCATTCTGAGTGAATAGGGGAGAATAAACAGGAGCAATTAAGTGGTCCTAACAGAAAAACTGTTGTGTTAGTGACTGTGAATATCCTTTTGCTTGACGGTAAAAGTGATGAATAGAATTATTTAATTCTAAGGAAATCCTATCATAACTCCAAAGATGAGGATGCTGGGGAACCTCAGCAAGGATAGGATCTGCAGAACTCGGGGTTCACAGCATCTGTAGAGTTGTAAGATGTTCAAATGCCATCCCCTTTGTCTCCAATGTTATCTCCAATAAATGGTATTTTAATTAACATATTGTGGAGTCTGAGTGCCGTTCTTACAGGGATCCATAATGAACACTTGCACTACATTTGGTGTAGTCAGCAGGATCCTGGTGAGAAATGCCTTACTGGACGGATAGTGAGGAAAAGAATGGGTTCCTGCCGGGTCCTGTAGACAGTTATGAGAAATAATCACGTGGTGTTTGGCCTGGGTGACCTTTCTGGTGAGCTGGGAGATTCAGAAGAAGTTATTGAGAAGTCCCACTCCAGCTGAAATATTAAGTTTTCTCCAAAAGGAAGGGATGAGAAAAGTTCTACATGAATGTGTTGTACTTGCTTGTTACTAACATGCTTGAAAAGAGTGTGGGAATGTTTTGGTCTGATACAAGGGGTAAAAGAGTCTCTTGTGTGGATATGGAGATATGGAAGATAAGGAAAGAACTAGTGTGGGTATCCCAGCAGCAAGAAATGCAGGTGAAGGAGCATGCGACTCCAGGCAGCAAGCACACAGGTCTTCTGTCCAGTCACGGTCTGCCTTGCTGAAAGGGCTTCACCATGGCTTTGGGATACTGGTAAATGACAAATATTTTCTTCATTTAAAAAGAAGAGTTAACCCATATGGGGCAAGAGCTCAAAACTCCCATTTGTGTTGAAAACCGTACTTGTGGGAGCATAAAGGTGCAAATCTTCACCTAGGAAAGAAAATAGCATCCATTACAGGCAAAAAGAAAAGGAGATGATAAAAAGTTGCTTACAGGAATGATGAACAGAGATGGAAGAGTTAAATGTGCAAAGGGTGGAAGTCAAAACCCCTGGGGATGTGATGAAAAAGCCCCAGGATGTAGCAGAAATCTCCAAATATAATGCAATGTCAGTGTAAAGAAATAGCTGAAACTTAAGTGACAGTTGAGACAAGAGGCTGCAGCAGTTACAGTTATCAGCCTTACAGCACTGGGTTTGGTCCTGTTTCACAGGGGAAGCCGCTGAAGAACAGCAACTGGAAAAGAAGCAGCCAGACGCAGTGACAGAACAGTTGGTTTCAGTAACTTTTTTTTTTTAAACAAGTCTTTAAGCAACAAAACAGATGAAGGGATCAGAACAGATTTCTGACACAAAAGGTAGATGACAGATAAATATCAAAGGATATTGATATCTGTCCAATAACCAAGCTTAACAGCCAGATTCTAGTGTTGCTTAAACTTACCCCTATACAATGCGTGATATCATATAAAGTGCTAATATTTCCCCTTTAAAGGAAAAGCAAGATGGTAAAATGCTGTGCATAAACATAGCAGCTGCTTATTTCAGCTCTAGTATAAAGGTTGTGTGGTTATTACAAAGAAGAGACAGAGAGAAGTGCAGGAATGAAGAAAAAAAAAATGAGTATATTGGAAATTCTTATGAAGGGGAATACTCCAGGGATCCACATAGTGAGTTGGCGTGAGTAGGAGCAGGCTTGTGCTGTGCTGCATGTATCACTTGGCCACAGGATGAGCTAAGATGGCTAATGCTAACTGGAGAGCCTACAGGCTGCTTCCACTTGGCATTGGTGCTGATGCCACCACCACCAAGCAGCCTTGTCTTTATCTCAGAGTGAGGCAGCATATTCTTATGGGAACATCCATTTGTTTGACATTGGAAATGACAAATAGAGTTGTTTGCTTTCCAGAAAATCCTCTTAAAAAAAAACAAAAACAAGACCACAAAGCTGGTGAACCTCAGCACAGACAATATTTGCACAGCATACCATGATGGCCTGATGTTCTGCTACTTGCTGTTGCCAGCATCCGAAGAGACCTAAGATTGCTATCCCCCTTTGCCTTCTAATGTGATCTCCAACAAATGCCATTTTAATCAATACCTTGTGTACTCTGTGCCCTTTCTTACTAGGATCTACAATGAACACTCGCACAGGTGCATATCCATCACTCATCACTACAGCCAAGAAATCAGGGTGGTCTTCCACCAGTGTTATTTCTGCTCTGCATGCACAGCCACTTGGGATCGCTCAGTTCTGCCCTGGTGAAAACAACCCTGAGGTCATTTGTCCCACCTGCAGTGTGAGACCAGAACCAAATTATCATACAGAGAGTAAAGAAACTGTCCCTGCTGCCATCCTCTTCTATTCTACCAGCTGAGCAAGTCCCACTGGCTGCCAGCAGGGCTTACAGAAACATGGGGCTGTTTGAGCCTCCTCGTACAGTGAGGAGCAGTGGTGACTGCTGTGTGGGACAGCAGCAGATCTGATTTCCCCGTTCTTCCAAACCTTTGTTTGTGCACTGATGCCTCCCTCCTGCCCCAGCCTTACTGCAGTCCCTGCCTGTGCATTTCTCCTAAATGCCGGTTCCCTCCTGCAAAGTAACGCAGGGTGTTTCTAGGGTCGTGCCTAATCCTATGCACACACACCCAGGGCAGTTTGGCTGTTCCTGAAGGCGCCTCTCCAAAACCCAGGTGTGGTGGGTGAGAACAGGGGATACTCCTGTTAGGTGAGGGCGGGAGCCTCTGCAACTGCTCTTTGTACCAGTGGACACAGAGTCATTCCTGAGCCACCCTAATGCTAATATTTGCACTCCTTCTATGGAGATAAATATTACAGCTGTATCCCCTGCACGGAGGCACAGCACAAAACATGCTCCCTGCTGGCAGAAAACACTTTTGTGCCATGTGGCAGCTCTAGAGACCATCCTGACCCTGCCCTGCTTTCTGCTGTTTTCTCACCATGCCGATTTTCTGCTTGTTGTAGGGATCATGATGGTGTTCCCAGCTCTGGAAGTCCAGTTCTTTACTTATTTATTAGCTGATGTTGTGGCACCTGAATTACTCCTGCCTCCCTGTTCCTGCAAGCCCTTGTTTTTCTGCCTGTTTCAGGTGTGCTAGCTCCTTGCCTGGCAGAGCCTCTGTTTCCTTTTGGATGTATTTTAATGTACAGTGGGAAGTTACACACACTGAGAATGGCATTGCTGACCTCACTGGGGGGAAAATTAAATTCCCCAGGGGTTGCAGCAGGCACCCCTTCTGATACGTGGCATGGATGAGGGAGATGGAGGAGACTTAAACCGTGGGTTTGGGTGCCAAAATAGCTGGGGCTAAGCTTGGTGATAACTGCAGGGAGAAAAGACAACTGGACACCAGGGGAAAAAGGGGCGGCTTGCTACTAAATCAGAAGGATTTGGAACCAGCAAAATCAGAAGGATTTGGGAGGCAGCAGTCATGCCAAGAGCTGCGGGGGCAGCAGTCATGACAAGAGCAGGGTGGCACCACAGGAAAAGTAGTGAGCTGCTTGGGCTGGGGTGGCTGTCCCCTGGCAGAGACCTCTCTCGGCCAGCCCAAGTTCTCCCTGTGCCCTGGGACAAGCTTGTCCTCTCGCATCTTCCCTGTTATGAAATGAGATGCTAATTTTTCTCCTGGGGTGTGTGCATATAGAGGCATTTTGTTTGGCTTCCACCAATTAAGTATGAAAATGAAAAGGGAGGGAGAGATGCCAAGAGAGGATGGATAAGAGAAGCCTCAGTCCCGCTGTCCCTGACACACCATGACCTCTGGAGTCCTGTTTCTTCATTCTGGTTTAATATTAACCCGGCGGGGCTGTGACTCCGCTTATTCTGCTCCCGTTGCATTTCCTCCGCAGCCAGGGCTGTACAGCATGGCGCACAGCAAAACCAGCATACTGCAGGGCCTGCTCCTTTCCAGCCTCCTGCACCTCACCTTGAGCCACGATGGAGGTAAGTCTCTGGCACAGGGAGAAGGGCTGGACCAGTGGGTGATGAAGGAAGGAAGATGGACTTATTTCTTTCCAGGGATGAAGCTTGTGGAGCTTCTAAAACCTTGTAGCTAGGAGCAAAAGGGTGCAGAGAGTGGACTGAGCAGAGGGCTTTCCTGCACAGGAGGATGCAGCAGCATCCAGCAGCTGGCAGGGAAAGCCAACAGCTCAGTAGATTTTGTGGGTCACCTGGGAGATGGTGGGGAAGGGGAATGGGGCTCAGTTCAGGACCTTGTGTAGCACAGCCACTTTTTGGGTTAGTTCCTCAGCTCATCTGTGTTGCTGTAATCCTCCATTGCCTCTTCAGCTGCCCTTATCTACAATTTAGGTCAGATGCAGTATGCAGCCTTCCTGCTTATTGCTCCGTGTCTTCTCCCAGAGCCTTTACTTCATCCATCTGTTCTTAATATGAGCTTAGGTCCTCTCTGACACACTGCTTTGTGGGGGAAGACCTGTCCACAGGTCTCAGTTCAGAGTCCCTGAACACAAAGATGGAATCAAGCTATGCCTGCCGCAGTAGCATGAGGCTGGCGAGACAGAAATACACTGGTTGGCAGAGAGCTCTAGACGGGCTCTGGGCAAACAAGCCTCTATCTAACTGCAAATCAGCAGAGCAGCTTTGCTGAGGATTCCTATCGCTTCTGCTGCCTCAGCGCTGCCAGCCCCAAAAGATGAATTATAGCAAGACTGCACTGACCGTCAGGTGTGGACTTGACAGGTCTTGGGCAGGGCTTCTCCTCTCTCTGTGGTGAGCTGGGGGAGGCTGGGCTATGGGATCAGCACATCAGCTGAGCGTGACTTTTGGAAACTGCGAGGGAAGATGCGGGGACCCTCCCACTGCGAGCATCCCTTTGACTGGCAGTGTTCTGACTCGGTAGTTTTCCTGGAAAAGGGGCAGGCACTGTCATTGCTCAAGCGCCCACGACGTGCCAACAAGGGATTTCTCGAAGAGATGCTTAAAGGAAACCTGGAGCGAGAGTGCCTGGAGGAGATATGCAGTTACGAGGAGGCCTTCGAAGCCCTCGAATCCACCGTTGACACGGTACGTCACAGGGCACGGGTGACTCCTGCAGTGAGAGCAGTGGGTCACACAAAGCTAGGCACTGGGGTTTTAAGGCTGAATTTTGTGATAGAAAGATAAGGTTGACGTGTGTGTGACACACAGAGAGCTTAGACACCCTCAGGGAGACTCCTGCCTAGAGCCACACCAGGAAATGCACCTCAAAGCTCAGATTCTTTTCCTTCCTTCTCTATTGTAAACATGAAGTGAAAAAAAGCGAGTATTTCCTCAACTACTAGCCAAGAATTGCATCTTGCACTAGTCCAGCATGCTGCCACGCACATTTGAACTGCCACAGCCCCAGACAGTCACAGACCAGATGCCTTCGCAATCAAACCCTGAGTGCAGGTGCCTCAAGCCCCTCTGAGCTCTAACTCTGGCACAGTTTGCCCCTTCTTCTGGTTTCCAGACACACTCTCACTCTGATACATTTTTTTCATTGTCATTTTGTGAAATGCTCCTAGCTCCAAGGCCAGTATCAGTGCTGAATTCCACACCTGAGAATAAGACACAAACCAGATGACCAGCCAGGAGTTTAAGCCAGCAGGAAAGAAGCTCCGCAGAGTATTCCTAGAGCAGCACAAACTCTTGGGCTGCGTAGGAGAGGTGCAGATCCGAAGAATGGAGCAGTACCTGCATATGATCTTTAGAAGTTCTGGGTTCAATTCCTTGGACTTCCGTAATGCAGCACAAGCTCTGCTTCCTCTGCACATTGATGAGGGAGAATTGCTGTAAGCATCTCTGGTCTTTTTTAGAAGTGACAGTCCTCTCTGTTACTCTGATTAGTTGCAAGTCCATAGCAAACAACCAGAGTCTCTCCTGGAGATGATCCGTTGCATGATCAAGAGTCTAAAAGGGACAACAAATGTTCCTGCACAGTAACTGATCTTCAGGGTTTGCATCTCTGCTTTTGTTAGGGATAAAAATTCCCTTCGGCACATCCTGTTCTAGGTCAATCCAGAGAAGACAAACACAAGGTGGAGGCTCAGGACAGACAGAGCGGTCAAAATGACCTTTCACGGGATGGTACAGACACCTGCACACATCAGGCTAGTTTGTCACGGGGACACGGCTGTATTATGGTACTGGTTTTTGCCAGCATGGGGCATAAAGCAAAGCACATTGTATAGTAACAGGATAAAAACGTAATTTTGGAGCTCCATGGTTGCGAAAGGAAGGTAGCTAACCAGAAACCATTGTAATATTCCTCAACAGTTGTCCCACCTCCACTTAGCTAGGGACAGGGGCTTACAGATGAGGTGGTTCCAAGCTTCAGATTGTTGGAGATGGTGGAGATCTTACGTCTGGGTATTGCAAAGATGCAGAAACATGCATGCATGAAGTTCAGTGTGTTGCCTCCAAAATGCTTGCCTAGCTTGGGCAAAGCTGAAAAAGACCTGATCCCTGAGTCTGTTGGGTGGGAATGTAGTTTTATGTTAGATTTTCTGCTTTGTTGGACTTCACCGTATTTGCTATCAAAAGAGCTAGGTTAGTTTGTGCCACTTGCTGCGATAAGGCATTCTACTGGTTGAATTGCAGCAGCTAAGCAAGGTCTGATGTCTGCACTCTGCTCTTCAATATTTTTGTTTGTTTGTTTTTACAGAATGTATTTTGGCCAAAATACCAGGGTAAGTTGCTCCAAGTCCTGCAGGCACTCTGCTCTCCCTCAGGATGTACTGACCCATCCTGGAGGAATGGCTCCCTTCCCCCTCTGGAGAGCTCACTCTCCAGGACAAAGCCCTTATGTTAAAATAAGCCCTAGATGATAAAATGGTTCAAACCATGCTGCTTGCTTAGATTCCTTTCTTGTAATGTTTTTTATTTTTCTTATTTTGTTAGCATGTCAGGGCATGAGAAAGACCAGGACGGCTTTGGATGCTTGTTTAGAAGGTAAGAAATTCATGTGGACCTCAAGTTCCCTAAGTGCCAGAAACCTGCTTCCTACTGTCTGGATGGAAAAAAACAAGCTGAAGGTGGTGAGGTCATCTGATTAGAAGGAAAAAATAGCATGAGGGGATCTTGAAATTCCTTTCGTCCTCTTTATTTCCCCAGTAACCGTTTCACAAGCTGCCTGACTTCCCAATTAAAATGATACAGGGTAGCTTTCCTTTTCCCAGTGACACAGTAATGTGTCCCTGACCAGCTCTAGGCTAGACTGGCCTCTCAGAAATACTCTGACCTGTGCCTACAGCCAAAGCAAAGAACAAAGCCTCAGGACAAGCTCCCTCTGATGAAGCAGAGAGAGTTTAAGCCATGTGCTCTTCCCACCCCCTAAAGAGAATGCCTGTGCTTGTGCAGGCTTCTGTATGCATTAAAAGATAAAGGGATTTGTGGGAGGGTACCTCTGACCTTGAGAAGTGTAACATCCATGTCCAGTGGCCCAGGCTTACCCTGTGTTGGGCTTTTGACAGGTAACTGCTCTGCTGGTCTTGGCCAGAACTATCAGGGGACAATTAGTTACACCAAATCCGGGATTGAATGTCAAGTGTGGACAAGCAAATACCCACATATCCCTAAGTAAGTGCATCTCCCCCTTTCCCCTGAAGAGTTTTCCCTGGTGTCCTTCCTTCCTAGCTTAACCAGCCTTTTCCCACAGGTTTAATGCCACCATCTATCCCAACCTCATTGAGAACTACTGCAGGAACCCAGACAACAACTCCGAAGGCCCGTGGTGCTACACCCGAGACCCAACGGTGGAACGGGAGGAATGTCCCATTCCAGTGTGCGGTACGCCTCAGCACTGCGCCTCTGCAAGCTCTCCGCTAGCAAGGAACTTTGCACTAACACTGATGCTAAGGAAGGGGTGAGAATTAGCAGGAAGGGATCTTATACAAACAGGTCATTCAGAGTAGAGCAGCTATGCCTTAAAGGTTAAAAGTGTCTGGGGAGAAAGTGTCAAGTAGATGCTCATCCATCTACCTTGGGTAAGACCCTCTAAAGCTGTGTTTTCTCTAGACTAATACAAATCTAGATTAAACCTGCTGTCAACAGTTTCCCGGAGTCTACTGCAATTTTACCAGCCAGGAGCACCCCCAAATCCTGACTCAGCTGCCTCTAACTTGTGACAGCAATGAGTCATATTGCCTTTTTTTTTTGGTCAAAATTCCTTTAGGATAAAACCACCACAACTTATGCTTGACTGCTCGCCTTAATGTGCAGCATGTGACGTTCTGTCTCCTCTCAAGAAGACAGAAGATGCCCTTGTCTCATTATTCCCTTTGACAGGATGGAGAACTATCCCCATACACTTGTACCTTCCCATTTGTCTACAACACAGAGCTGTCTCCTCTGGGGCTTGGCCTTCATCTCAGAAGAAATGGTTGAAAGTGGAGAACCTTGTCACAGCAGAGGCTTCACTTGCAAAAGCAGAGACTAGAGGCAATGACTCGTGAAAGTCATAGAGGTCATAAATTTGCCAAATAATTGTTCTGAAGCATTAAAATCATTAACATCGCTCCAGTCTGCCATATAGCAAACTGGAGAAAAATAATGTTCAGCTTTGGGATGATCGTGCATTGGTACCATCTCTGCTCATGAGTTAGTTTCTGCCCTATGGCAAAGTAACCAACTGTTACACTTACATGTGCATGGATATAACTGGACTAGAAAATCCTTAGCTTTCTTGCACAGTTCCTTTGTGATCAAGTTGTCATGAATCAATCTCACAGAGATGCAGTCTCCCCCGTTAGAGTGCTTACTGCTGCTTCCTCAATGGCTGCTATTTTCTAATGCAAAGCTATGACTTAAATCACAGCTTTCTGCCCTTCCAGGTCAAGACAGGACAACAGTTGAATTTACTCCACGGGTCACAACAACAGCTCCAGTGCAGGCCTGTGAACCGGAGAGAGGCATGCTTTATACAGGGACCCTCTCAGTCACTGTGTCTGGGGCAAAATGCCTGCCGTGGAACTCAGAGAAGGCCAAGGCATTGCTCCAAAATAAAGACATCACCCCAGAGGTGAAGCTGCTGGAGAATTACTGTCGGAACCCTGATGCAGATGAAGAGGGTGTCTGGTGTGTAACAGATGAACCACCCTACTTCGAATATTGTGACCTGAACTACTGCGGTGAGAACCCTGTATTGGTTTGAGGAAGGGGCAAAAACGGTAGTACATGCAAGCAGAATGAAGGACCTGATGGGGAGGGGGAGGAGGAATTTATAATCATAGAATCATTATAGAAGCAGTCAGGTTGGAAAAGACCTCTAAGATCATCTAGTCCAACCTTTAACCTAGTACTGACACATCTACCACCAACACAATACCACACATGTGAAAGCCTTCATGTACCTACCTGCCATACGTGCATATAACTGAACTCTCTTGGGTGTCTCTTGCTGGTAGACAATGAGCATTAAAACTAGCAAGGGCTCTCAACCATCATTCCTCTGTCATTCTCACTGTGTGGGGAAATGGACATCGACGCTGCTCTGAAGATGGAGACCACAGCAGCTAAGCCTTTTACAATGTTATCTTTCTGTCTCTCTCAGACAGCTTGCTAGAGGATGAGTATGAACAGCAGGAGGAAAGAGGAGGACGCACCCTCCTTCCTCAAGAGTTCCAAACCTTCTTTGATGATGCAACTTTTGGTACAGGCGAAGCAGGTGAGCAAAAACTCTAGATACAGCATCAGTTGGCAGAAAAGTTGCAGCTTCTTCCCACAGAGCACTCACTGTACCTCAGAAATGTCAGCTTACCAAATGCTGTCAAAAGCAAGGGTAGGAGATATTTAATTTGCGTAAAGGTTCATCAAAAGTTAAGCTCTAGTTAAAATCATGGAGCTAATTAGCATGCCTGTCCTAAGCTTTTCAAGCTGAGCATGGTGACTGCAGACAATTTTGCTACTGTGAATGAGGCAGAGTATCAAACCAGGTTGTCTGTTTTTGTTTTGTTTTTCCCAGATTGTGGCACTCGTCCTTTATTTGAGAAGAAAAAGTTAACGGACAAAAGTGAGAAGGAGCTGTTGGAGTCCTATATAGGAGGCAGAGTTGTGCACGGGGATGATGCAGAACTGGGAAGTTCCCCCTGGTAAGCATTATCTCATCATAGTCCTTCATTTCCACCACAGGGGAAAATAAAAGGGATCTCTCATGGCAGGAAGCATGCAGTTAGTATCATTTCTAAGCACAGATTCTCCAAGCATGTGACAGAGGGGTAGAAAAGCAGTACAGAAACAAGCTTCTCTGTGCTTGAACTAAATGCATGCTTGTCAGGGAATGCTAGTGGTAGTGGGGTTCATCTCTCCTCTTTCCAGCTTTGCTGGAGCAGAGAGGTAGGTAAAGGAGATAAGGTAAATTGCCTATTACATAGAAATAGACCTCTGCAGTCTTCTTTACCAGTACAACACAATACACTTCCCTGCTCAATCCAAACTCTGCTCTCCTTGAGACACACACTGCAAGCCAAGACATTAGTCTTAAGTCTTCCTCTTTCCTTTTGTTTCAGGCAGGTGATGCTCTACAAAAAGAGCCCTCAAGAGCTCCTGTGTGGTGCCAGCCTCATCAGTAGTAACTGGGTCTTGACTGCTGCTCATTGTCTTTTTTATCCACCCTGGGACAAGAACTTAACTACAGATGACATCTTGGTGCGGATTGGCAAACATTTCAGGGCAAAGTAAGAGCCTGAACAGCCTAAACTGAGAGTACACTAGCTTTTCTCTTGAGGTAGTGAGATGCAGTGAGGTTAGAATATCATTCAGTACCCCAGGAAACATATAGAGTCAATGCTATCTATCTCAAGAATGAGATTTAATGGAGATGGCAGTTGCTGATCTTGAAAGGGCAAGCAGAACCCTGGAAGGTCTAAAGGGACACTCCCCTGTCAAGAGGGGGACAATGTCTCAGAGGACACAACTGCTCATTTTCTATTGTACAATGAGTTCTTTCCTTCACAACTATTTCAGATATGAAAAGAACAAAGAGAAAATTGCTCTGTTGGATAAGATCATCCTCCATCCCAAGTACAACTGGAAAGAGAACATGGACCGAGACATTGCCCTTCTGCACCTGAAGAGACCCATCGCCTTCAGTGACTACATCCACCCTGTCTGCCTGCCTACCAAAGAGGTTGTGCAAAGGTGAGGCAGCAATCCTAGAAATACAGGCTGCAACAGTGTCCTTTGGGCCTTCAGAGAAGACAAACTAAAAACACCTGTTTAGGTGATTCGCAGCAAAGGAGCCAGACAGGAGAAAGCTGTTACAACATACTTGATTTTATAATTACACTTCTTTCCATTCTGTGGAAGGATTTCCACAGAAGGATTATTTGATTATAATTATGCTTCCTTCCATTCTGTGATTGCTTCCACAGGCTGATGCTGGCAGGTTATAAAGGGCGGGTAACTGGCTGGGGGAATCTGAAAGAAACATGGGTCACTAGCCCAAACAACCTCCCCACAGTCCTGCAACAGCTCAACATACCCATTGTAGACCAAGATACCTGCAAGGCGTCCACCAGAGTTAAAGTCACTGACAACATGTTCTGTGCAGGTAAGTAGACCTGGAGACATAAGGCAAACACCTGCCACTGAAGACAAGGGGGCTGAGCTCCTGCTGGGACACATACCACAAGGTTACTTTCTGATAAATTTTTAAGTGCCCTCCTAAAGAGTAACTTTCCCATGATATTTTTTTTTCCAACTCTCAGACTTGAAGGCAGGAGAAGTTAAAGCTATGAATAAGGTTTGTGCCACCATGCTGTCAGACCAACTAGCACAATGGCACTGCTATGTATCAGCAACAGCTGTGCAAGAACTCTGAGAACACAATCTTTTCACCAGTATAAGGAACAGTTCAGCAGCTTCCTGCATTAAAGGCTGCAAACCAGCTATACTACTCACTAGGCTAAGTGACTGATTCTGTACTTGTCTCAACCTTTTGAGCACCTGTTTACTCTTATGCCCACAATTTCTGTGGCAGGCTCCTTCACAGATTAGTTACAGCATGTGAGAAGAGAGGCATTCCTCACGTTCTGTTAAATTTCCTGTCTAACAAATTTGAAGAGGTGCACATCTATAATCATAGCTTTAAAAACACTTTTCTTGATGTCATATGCTATTTTACAGACCTCTTACAGCTCTGTCATCTTTCTCCCAAGCTGAGTAGGACTTAATTTTTCCTAATATAGAAGGCATTCTGTACTTCTGATAATCCTTGTTGTACCTTCTTAAATCTCTTCTAGCACCATACCCTTTTGGAGAGGGAAGAAACATAAACATAGCATTGAAGATATAAACATGCTATGGATTTATGTACTGGTTTAATACTTTCTGCTATATTCTTCATTCCTGCAGTCTTTATAAGTTTCTGCAAGCATATCTCCAAAAAGTTTTGGCAGAGTTTGTCCTCTTTCCATCTAATAACATAAATGCTTGAAAGTTAGGATAGAAGCCAATTTCATAGTAGAGTACACCAACAATATAGTATTCATAGTTCCTTTCTCTAGAAAACACTTGAAAAATAGATGAGATTCAGACACAGGGCAGCAAAAGGGAGACTTGAGTGATGGAAAATGCAAGAATTCCTGATGAACTAGGCAGTATCCAAGTAAAACCCCAATTTTCTTTATGACACATCTGTAGGAAGATATACACAGTCAGCTGGACGAGACAAAGAACAGAACCTGCAGAATGACAGGAAAATAAAAGTGAGGAAGGCCATGTCTCTAGTCAATACAATGAAAGAACAAGGTACACAGAACTTGAGCACACAAGTTTGTAGAAACAAAGGCAGAGTAGCCTAAGCTACAGCTGAAAATAAGGTGGCAGCTGACTAACAGCTATTCTGATGAAAAATAGGAATGAGAGCAGAGGGTGGCACAGTACAATACAATCAGTAACTCTGCAAAGACAGAAGCAGTTGGCTGGTTTATAAATATCAAATTTAAACCCCTTTAAGTCCAACATTGGTAGAAGCAGCAAGCAATCTCATGGCCCTGACATGTTATGCAGCGATACTTCAAGGAAAAGATGGCCAACACCAGTCACTTCCCCTACAGCCAGATGTCTGTTTTCTTTCCTGTAGGTTACAGTCCTGAAGACTCAAAGAGAGGAGATGCCTGTGAAGGGGACAGTGGGGGACCTTTTGTAATGAAGGTACGTTCAGTAAGCTGAAACTTATAAAACACGTGGCACTGGGGTTGTGTTCTGAACTTTTATAGTTGTCTAAAAAACAGCAGCACAGATACGAACTATTGAGTGGTTGAAGCAGCAAACCCCTCTCAAGCCTGAGCTGAGCAACCGAGATGAATCCTGCAGTCATCTAGCTCAGCTCCGTTTCTGTACTGAGCTCTCAGCAAATTGAGAGATCAGCTGAGGATTTCTTAAGTGATGGCCAAATCCCACTTACAGGTTTAAGAGTGGAGACACAGTTATGCCAATAAGCTGTTACCTAGTACATGCCAAGCTAAATTCCAAAGCAGCATGCATGAATAAACAGGCTGGGGCACAAACAAGGCTCAGATCTGAAAGTCTCTTGCTCCTCATGCTGATCTCGTTTTGCTTTGATTTAGAACCCGGATGACAACCGCTGGTATCAAGTGGGGATAGTCTCATGGGGAGAAGGCTGTGACCGAGATGGCAAATACGGATTTTATACCCATGTATTCCGCCTGAAGAAGTGGATGCGAAAAGCCATCGAAAAACACAGGGGATAGAAGAAGCGTTTCCCTTGCTTGTTCTCAGTTTTGCTACAGTATTCCAGTTCTTGAAAACATAAGCATTGAAGATCTTGAAGTGAAAGTTACGTGCCTACAACTTGACTAAGGAAGGTGTTCTTCCTTGAAAATAAAAGTTCTCAACAACCTCATCTTCCTTTTGTTCACGAATTGAATTGCACTTGAATCCATGCAATCACAATAGCTGGGAGTACCAAACACCGTTAGTTGTACTGCTAATTACCTGCTGTGCCTCAAACATTCTCCTCCCTTCTATCGGTTCTAATAATCAAGAGATCTTAGACCTCAGACGATAGACATCAGATGCAGTAAGCAAAACTTCCCTCATACATCATTTCCTCCCTTCAAGTCAACGCATTTTCTCTTCCAGAAATTGAACAGAAAATGAGATAACCCCCCTACAAAAATTGTGGAATTATTCAAAATGACAATACTGATGTCAGAAGTAAAGCAATTTTTTTTTTTTTTAATAAGAAAGGCATTGTTCTTGGCTGTGATAGCAGTCAAAAAAGTACCAGCACCACTATTTTCAAAATTAATGTCTAAAGATGTTATAGATGCCAGCTATATGCAACTCATCCTACACAGGAATAGGGGTTGGAATAGATGAAGAAGTAGCATTCAATTTATTGCATTGCAGTAACTTTTTACATGGCAGGTGGTGGTGGCTCCTGAAGTGTATTTTCCACTGGCATAGCTAGATTCAGAAAAGCAATTTGTGTATGGTCAAAGGTGCATCCAAAGGAAGCATCCTGCACTATACCAGTTTTGTTCTTATAAAGCCCATTTAGGAATCACTCTCAAGCTCCAGTTCATTCATGAACTCTTTAGCAATATTTGCAGACCACCAGAGACCCAGCAGTACAGTAGCAAATAACGTATTCTTGACAAACCGATCAGTTCAGTGCAATTTTCTTTTAAAGTGATCATGAGATTTGTAAGCTATCTTTGCTGCCTGTGACATCATATTACCAATTCCTCATCCTTCACAGTGCCATCATGTTAGAGAAGCAGGCAATAGATAACATTGATTGTGCTTCAGAGAGTATTAAGGAGAGTGAAAGGAGACGTGAAAAAATATGGCAGAACTACCTGAAATTAGTTGATAACAAAGTTAGCAATCAATTACTGTGTTTTGCTTTTGCAACCTCCTTGAAGATGGCTTATCTGGGAATCAACCTGAAGACAAACCCACTTTAATTGCCCAAAGCAAGTACAATAACAACTTCCCAGAGATATCTGAATAAACCAATTTTTAACTGCACAACCATTCCACAACCATTTAAAGTCACTGATAACCACAGGCATAGAAAAATGAAAATGTTTAGCCCTTCTAATGCTTGCATTTTTAGCCTCACCCTTCTACAACTACCCAGGATCTGTAAGAAACTGTATCTAACAGACGGGAACCAGAACCATACAATTTCTGGAGTAAGTCACTGTTATTGCGGACTTATTACAAACAATACAGAGGAATCATTTTTAAAACTCAGTTTAATGTTATTTAAATATTTTCTGGGCTAAAGATTAGGCTTTATTAATTTATGTGCACAAGTTTTAGTTCAGAACTCCCAGGATATTGAGTCCAACCAAACACTACAGAGACACAGGGCAAAAACTCATTCATAGTAAGCAACTATATCTTCTACTCAATTACTCCTGTACTTCACTCTCAATTCAGTTTCAAGTTTAAAATAGTTGTATGCAGGTTTGCAGGCATCACTGTTTTAACATCCTGAGCTAATTAACAAACAGCTCTTCAGAATGTCTGCTAGATGTGGTACAGTAAATCAACACATGGGTTCATTTAAATGTCAGTAAGTTTCAAAAAGCAGCTGATAATTGAGAGGTAGTGGCAGTAACTCCAATGCAAGCCAGACATCAACTATTCGCAAACAGCCTCAATTTAAGTGCACAAAACTTCAGCACTTACCAATAACGTCCAAACACTTCCACTTGTCATTCAGGTCTGTTTCACAAGAAAGGGCATGACTGCTTCAGGTTAGGATAGGAGACTGCAACTACTAAATCAAAGCGGTGGAGCAATGAATGGCATCATGTCAATTAACACAGGATGGCGAACGCTCACAAGTCACCTGCTATCACAGTGCACAAACTCACCACAAGCACCAAGCAGTATCACAAATCCACTGCAACCCCAGCCTAGGGGTCCTGTAACAGGAAAATTGCAGCCATTTGCAGAAGCTCTAGCATAGATTTGTTATACAGGTATTAATTTAAAGTCAGGTTTTTACTATAATCAGGCAAGATTGATTCAGCAACAGCCCAGATGCAGAGACTGTTGGGTCCCAGAGCAAACAACAAAAGCAGCAGTTACATGGAACCAAGTTAAAACCCAGAGCAGAAACGTGCTGTTTTAAGCCTGCCCATCCAACTCCTCAACAACTCTGGTCCAGCTATGGAACAGATGTGGAATTTATACTTCACAACCAGCTCACCCACGGAAGTGAAGTAGCAAGGTTAAAATACATCACCTCCCTAGAGATGAAAGGGCTAGAAAGGCTACACAGTGTAGGTCTTTAAGCTTTTGTACTCGTTGCTTCTGAAAAAGGCTAGTCAGAACTCTCTCAAATTAAAAAGCAGTGACTGCAGCTTTTGCAGACTAACGCTACCAGGTCTTTTCTAGTTTTATAAAACAGGAGAGTTTGCTAACATTGGATGTTTAAATGCAACTGAATGTGGTGCTGCAGCCTACCTGAAGAAGACCACTTAAATAAATTCAGGATAAGCGAGTACACTGACAGTACTTCACTGCTAATCTATTCCTTATCAACAGCAGCAGGCTCCCTCAAAGAGAAAGCATTATTTGTACACAGATGAGATTATGCTTAATCTGGGTAGAGGCATCACAAGGATTAGTAATTTAAAATAAGCATGTCAGCAAACTAAGTAGTCTCAACTTACTGAAACCATATTCTGGAACAAAAATAAAGAGCAACTACACGAAAAAATGCACTACTGCTTATAGAAGAGTGCAAAGTCTCAGGACTGCAACCCACAGATAGTATACACTGAATATACTCATCGTCCCTATAATATATCCAAGCCCCGTGTTCATGTCAATAGCTTAGTTCAGTTGCTAGATGCCCAGTCACTAACATTCAGGAATAGAGAGCAACTTCTCTCGCCAGCAGTCACTGCTGTTCCTACAGAGACTGGTATAGTTAATGCAAACTTTATTTACAAAAGACACTTAAATTAGTTACTTCATGCCATGTGTCCATACAGAATCAACAGTTCAAGGATTACATGGAGAAGAATTCACAAAATTAAAAGTGAAAGCACTAAAGATCTTCTAAGAGTTAAGAACTAGGAAAAAAGATCTTAACAACAATTTTACAAATAAAAAACAAGTTATGAGAAACTAGTCTGAGCAAGAGGATGGTTGTTTACAGGTCTGTACACTAAAACTAATACACAGACAGCCTTCTATTGTCAAGAGATGCTCACTGAGAAGCAGAGTATGTACAAATACTTGTGCCACAATGACTCAACCCCCCAAAATCCACCATATTATACATAAACCAGTTTGTATACATTAGGCCTAAACGAGGCCATTTAACTATGAAGACTTCTAGTTTAGTAAACTAAAGCTGAAGACAGCCCAAGCAACCGTGATGCTGTCCCTCTCGCATCTCTATTTGCGACTGCTTTTTATTCTCTCCAATCTTTTTTTCAAGTCATCGATATTAGCTGCTGCAGAAGAGGGTGAAGCTGGGGTAGTTCCAATGCCAGAGGAATGAGTCTGATTGGAGTCCAGGTCCAGATGTTGGTACTGCTCCCGTGACTCACGGAGCTGGGAGAGCTTACTGTGAAGCATATCTGTAGAAGATGCAACTGTAGGGACTGCTGGCTTAGAGAGCAGAGATGTCAGAGGTGGTCTGTCTTCCTGCTACGATGGAGGAAAGTGAAGTGTTAAGACAGATAATGGCAAAAGCCATTAAGTACAGAGCATAATTCATGGCTTTTCATCTTCACAGAAAACACTGAAAACAGAGTGGTATCTTTCCTTCCCTTTCCTCTAAGTCAACAACGTTATAAAGTCAGTTGCCAAAGGCAGAACCATGCAAAGCTAACTACAATATTCAATTCCTATAATTTGTTTTTTAAGTAGTTCTTTGTTACCTTGATGTCAGTTTGGACACAAAATCTGCAGAAGTCCAACCATCTGCAAGAAGTAGTCACACTAGACTCATGACAATACGTTTGAGACCTTTCAGCCTCAGATCAAACCTAGACTCTTGACTTGAATCTGTCTTAGGCACAGAGGAGCCAATCATTTGATTTCTTAAAAAAAAAAAAAACAAGTGCAAATGAGGTACAACTTCATGGGATCTGCAAGCATTGTCAAATACAATACCTTTGCATTGTCAAGGCCACAACGCTGCCTGAGGATTTTTAATCTTTCCAAGTAAACCGAAGGCCCCACTTCCTCCCCATTTGTGTTTCCTATAGATGAAGATACAGTGTGGGTAGAAACAGGAACACATGTTCCTTCCATCTGAGGAGAAATTCCTGGAGGACGGGGGAGGAGGAAAAAAAAGTAAAGAAAAAATAAAATATTAAAAACTCAAAAATAACCCTTCTTGATCAGTTGCTTCAAGTGAGATGCGATAGATGAAGAATCAACCAATCCATAGACTAGTAAACTCTTTGCATTTTCACATCCATTAGATCATTTCCTTGAAAGAGCAACAACTGAACAGTGAGAAAAGAAATGAAGACATTTAAGCAGCAATATAGAGCAGCTCCAGAAGTAGTGCTGGTGCTGACAGCTGGAGAAGGAAGGATGTGCATGGGAGGGAGAAAGATGCTGATGCAGATCAGAAGTAAACAATAGAGGGAACTCAGCAATTACACTGGCAGGATGGAAAATACTTGGAGCTTTCTCTTTTTCTAAGTTCAGTAGTACTTCTGGTAGACCTCACCACTGATTCTAAACTCTTTACTTCTTGTTCAGTTAACTTGAAAGGTATTGCAAATTCCAGTTGAATCTGAAATAATGCTTTCCAAAAGGCATGTAGTAGAGAAACTTTAAACACTTTGTTAAAAGACTAGGAAAG